TGGTAAAAATTTTGTTACCGCTAAAGGTGCCCCAGAAACTATTCGTACTATGGTGATTGATGCTCCAGAAAAATTTATGAAGAAATCTACAAATCTTTCACTAGAGCCAGTTCCCGATGTTTTAGACCCTTGCTTATAAATACTTGGATACCAATGTTAATGTGAACAAGGTTACCCGTGAAGAAATTGAATCTAAATTACATTTGCTGGGTTTATTGTTTTCCACTGTCCATTGAAAAATGATGCTATTGAAACTATTAAAATGTTGAATGAATCGTCTCATCGTTCTGTTATGATTACCGGTGATAATCCATTAACTGCTTGTCATGTTGCTAAAGAAGTTCGTATTACCACTAAAGATGTCTTGATTTTGGATGCTCCTGAAGAACATCATGAAATTGGTGAAGGTGATAACTTGGTCTGGAGAAATGTTTCTGAATCCGTTATTATCCCATTTAGATCATCTGACAAGATTAATCTTGAATTGTTTACCAAGTATGATATCTGTATCACCGGTTATGCCTTGAACTATTTGAGTGACCATGAACAAATTTTGGAATTATTGAAACACACTTGGGTTTATGCTAGAGTTTCACCAACTCAAAAGGAATTTATTTTGACTTCATTGAAAGAAGCTGGATATAATACTTTAATGTGTGGTGATGGTACTAATGATGTTGGTGCTTTGAAACAAGCCAATATTGGTGTTGCTTTGTTGAATGGTACTGAAGAAGGTATGAAAAAGATTGCTGAAAATAGAAAGATTGAAGCTACTTTGAAAGTTTATGAAAAACAAGTGCAGATTTTTACCAATTGGGGTAAAGTTCCACCACCTGTTCCTCCAGTTATTGCCCATTTGTATCCACCAGGTCCACAAAATCCAAAATATTTGGAAGCTATGGAAAAGAAGGGGATTACTATTACTGATGATATGAGAAAAGCTGTTGCTGCTGCCATGAAAGAACCAGTTAAAGTTCCTGAAAAGGGGGCTGCTGGTGTTAATGCTAATGGTGGTAACAACTTTGCTGATACCATTCTTGGTGCCATGAATGATGCTGAGGCTGAAGATGAAGCACCTGTTTTGAAATTGGGTGATGCTTCAGTTGCTGCTCCTTTCACTTCTAAATTGGCTAATGTTAGTACTGTTACTCATATTATTCGTCAAGGTCGTTGTGCACTAGTTTCTACTATTCAAATGTACAAGATCTTGGCCTTGAACTGTTTGATTTCATCTTATTCCCTTTCTGTTTTGTATTTGGCTGGTATGAAATTTGGTGATGGACAAGCTACTATTTCTGGTATTTTGTTATCTGTTTGTTTCTTGTCAATTTCTCGTGGTAGACCATTGGAAAAATTATCTAAAGAAAGACCACAAGAAGGTATTTTCAATATTTATATTATGGGTTCGATTTTGGGTCAATTTGCTATTCATATCATCACTTTGGTTTATATTACTAGAGAAATTTATATTCTTGAACCAAGAGAACCAAGTGTTGATTTGGAAAAAGAATTTTCTCCTTCTTTGTTGAATACTGGTATGTTTTTGTTACAATTGGCTCAACAAGTTTCCACGTTTGCTGTTAATTATATTGGTTTACCATTTAGAGAAAGTATCACTAGTAACAAAGGGATGTATTATGGTTTATTGGGTGTTGCAGGTTTGACATTTGCCTGTTCTACTGAATTCATGCCAGAATTGAATGAAGTTATGCAATTTGTTCCAATGACTTTTAATTTTAAAGTTAAGTTAACTGGATGTATTATTTTGGATTTGGTTGTTACATTTGCCATTGAAAATGTCTTGAAGTATTTCTTTATGAATTCTCATGCAGCTGATATTGCATTAAGAGATGGTGATAATGATGAACCTGAAGAAGAAGTTAAAGACTATAAAGTTATGGAAGAAGCTAATTAATGGAAAAGTAGATATTATAGATAATTACAATATTTTCATCGGTATGTAAATACACAACATATATATATATATATATATATACATACAAATTATTGATATTTTAGTTTAGTTTACTTTACTTTACTTTGAATATTTGTAAATCCAGATCCCTATCTAGATAAGACACACGAATAACTTGTAAACCATTTTTTTTCAATTAATTTAATTTTAGATAATTTTGATTGTATTAATTTTATAACATCATGAATTTCATCAGCAACAACAGGATAATTTGAACTATCTTGAATAATTTGTATTAATTTATTAGTTGAAAAAGATTTACAATTATCATTTTGAGAATTATATAATTGATAAATTATATCATAAATCATTGGAATTTTACCAATTAAATAATTTTGATATTTTTCTTCGGGTGTTATTTGTTTAGATAATTGTTCTTTTGCTAATTTTTCTTTAAGTTTAATTCTTTCAAGTAATGATAATCCTTTAATTGAATTTTCTTTAGGTTCAGATTTTTCATTAAATTTAAATTTTGATGGATCATTTTTCAAATCAGAATATTTCCTTGGACTATTTTTATTAATTATTTGTTTTGATTTAATGATTTTATTAGGTGATTTACATATACTTGTTGTTGTTGTTGTTGTTGCTATTGATTGTCGTTTAGGAATTTCATCAAGATCTTGATTTGATTCAATCCAAATTTTGACTTTTTTAATAAATTCATTCTTTCTCAGTTGATGTAGTTGTGAGATATTAGAGAGTTTTATAGATAATTCATCATTTAATTTAAACATCACATACATATCCGGATTTATCTCCAATATTTGTTGTATATCACTAGTATGGATTACTGTTTTGGCAAGTGATGATGCTTGATTAAGGATCTTTGATAATTGTGGATGTGATATATGTGTAGTATAATGTAATGATAGTACGTTGTCTAAAGCAACAGATTTGTTTATTATCGTAACAAATACATGTTTAGGAATTAAAGGATGTTTAGGAATATCCATTGATTAATCTGTATTCGTGAAAGGTTGATAAAGGTTAAAGGAAAGGAAGAAGAAGACGCGTTCCTTGTTTGATTGAATTTTTTTTTTTTTTTTATTTATTTTTCGCATCATTCTTCAGGCAAAGATTCTTTTTTTTTTTCACACTAAATTTATTCGTCGCGTGCTTTTCAACTCGGCCGATTTTCTTTTCAATGTCCCCCCCCCCTCCCCGTCCAAAAAAGTGATTATAGCCGTACTTGATGAGATTAAGATGAAATATTTATAGAGAGGAATTCACAATGTAAATGAAATATAACATATTGAGCAATACTTAATTTAAAAGTGATCCCTCCGAGTTGTATTGACTTTTAATTGACTCAAAAATATTTCTCTTCCCCTTCCCCCTCTTTTTGCCCGGAGAATTAGTGTCCATTTCGAGATGTGCACAATTAAACCGAGTCGAAGCAAACGAAAAAAAAAAAAAAAATCTACCACACAAACATCCACATACATACGTACATACGTACAGCCATTCTTGGTGAATAAAAGCAACCAATTATTTTCATAAACTACCAAACTAAAGATTAGCCCAATCATAACAACATACGAATGACAAATAATCGAACAGATCATTTAAAAAGAGGTTCTGATGTTACTCCACTTGAAGCATTAACTGCTGGATCAATAGCAGGAGCAGTTTCTAGAGCAGTAACAGCACCATTAGATACTATAAAGATACGACTTCAATTAGAATCAAGTGGATTTAAAGAAAGAAAAACAGTACCAACGATAATTAAAAATTTATTAAGACATGAAGGTGTAATTGCATTTTGGAAAGGAAATGTACCTGCGGAAATACTATATATTCTATATGGAGGATCACAATTTGCATCGTATTCAATTTTGAATAAACAACTACTGATATTGGAACAATTATATAAAATAAAATTATCTGAATCAACTCATTCTTTAATTGCAGGAATAGGTTCAGGAATTACAAGTACTTTAGTAACATATCCATTTGATTTATTAAGAACAAGATTGGTTGCGAATAGAACTAGAAATCTACTATCTATGTCAAGTATAGTTAAAAGTATAATCCAAACGGAAGGTATAAGAGGAATATTTGCTGGAATAAGACCAGCTATGCTTTCGGTTTCAACTACTTCTGGATTAATGTTTTGGTCATATGAATTAGCTCGTGATTTCTCGAGTAATTTTAAACATGTACCATTTATTGAAGGTATATGTGGATTTATTGCTGGAGCATTTTCAAAAGGTGTAACTTTTCCATTAGATACATTGAGAAAAAGATGTCAAATGTGTTCAGTGGTTCATGGTCATCCCTTTAGTGCTCTGCATTTATTTATTTCTATCCTTAGAAGAGAAGGTGTGCTTGGATTGTATAGAGGATTTGGAGTTAGTATCATAAAGACGGCACCTACTAGTGCAATTTCATTATTCATGTACGAATACTCATTGTCATTTATTAGGAAAATAGAATTATAAATCGAGATATTAATAATAATAATAATAATATTTGAAATTGAGAACTCATATCTTGAACAAATAATCATCATCGTCATCTTCTTCTCCAACATTCACAAAGTCATGGTCTTCTTCCTCTTCCTCCTCTTGGCTATCATTTTCTGTAGCTTCTTCTTCTTCGTCATCATCTTCTTCTTCGTCTTCATGTTCGACATGCATGCCAATATATCTAGTCAACAGATCAGGCAGAATATACTCCTTATTGTCTTCATTATCTGATTCATCCGAGAAAAATTGAATTCGTTGATCACTATCAAAAGTGTTTGTCGGACTGGATTTGGTACTAGTGGATAGATCCTTGTTATGTGCATATAAAAACTGTGAATTTGTTACCAAATTCTGTAGTCTTGATGGTTTTTTATAACTTCCTTTAAGTGATGATTCATTTGACAGAATAGTTGGTATTTGATGTCTTGATGGTTTGGGTGTAAGTTTCTGCCGTGGTCTATGCTTAGTCAATTGATCTCTAATATATGTTGGCAATTGTTCGTCAACAGTTGATGTACGCCTATGTTTTGGACGACTCATTCCTTGTTCCAATCCAACTTGTGGTTGAGACTTTTGTTGTTTAAGGGAAAACTTCTTCTTGGTTTTTGTTACTGTGGGTGATGTAGTGTTTTTAACCAGTGTCTTTGCCTCTGACTTTGCCATAACATTGATGTTGGTAGTTGCTGCAATTGGAGCTTTTGATAATTTGAATTCTTTACGTATTCCAAATGTTGGTCTAGGATGCATTAGTTCGAGTGATGCCCTTCTTTCTGTTTTGGTTAGCTGTGGAACGGGTGGTGATTTTACTTTTTGTATAGAATCTGGAATTGGATTATACTCGGGTGTGGTTTGTGGTTGATCTGGTGCGGTATCTTCTTGTGTTGGAAGATCAAATTTGAACTCTTCCAAACCAAGTGATTCAATTAATTGAACAACTTCTTGGAAAATGGGATTTCTCTTAGACTTCCAATGCAGAATCAATTGATTTGTATTGAAATCCTCTCCAAGGAACAATGTCATATAATTATCATAAATTTCATCAATCTTCAATCGTAAAAAATCTTGATCATCAATACCCACTAAATTATAAATACTATTCCAATCCAAATTCTTGAAAAAATATCGAGTATCTTCTAAATTTTGGTAATAATCAATAATATACTTCTCTAGTAGTTGTTCCTTTTGTAACGTCCAATCCATCTAATACTATGTTAGTATCCAAAGAACACAGAAAAAAAAAATAGTACCCACACATTTCAATTACATACTTCATCATCATTAGCATTGCTTAATTCATGACTAGCCATTAGTGGTGATAAAACTGACATTCAGCAAATGAATTAAAAAAGAGTGTGGTTTGATTACTGGGGAGCTTTATTTTAGTGTTCTTTTTTTTTCCTATCACAGTGTGTGAGTGAGTATGTGTGTGTGCCTACGAATGGGTGTAAGGAAGTGATAAGAAACGATCAAAGTGTTACAGGTTGATGCAGAAAAATACAATTCTTTATAACCAATCATACGATGGTGCGTAGTGGATCTGTACGATCAATAACATATGATCTATGGGTTAGATAAGTTATTATCTGTGCAAAAAAAATAAATGGTCCCTAGCAGGATCGAACTGCTGATCTTGGCGTTATTAGCACCACGCCTTAACCAACTGGGCCAAGGGACCATTTCATAACCAACTGTACTACAGGAGGCTTTTGATGTTTTTTGAAACTTTTCAGATACTCTGGTTTAATTTCTTCACTAAATGATATATAGATAAATATGCCGTATATAGATGTTTTATAACCTCAAGGAGTACATAAATGTATCCCTCAATGTTTTAGTACTCTTCTTAAAAAGCTAAACTTTGTCTTAGTTCGTTATTTTAGATATTATATACTTACGATATATGACTAACATTTCGTTATAAATGTTTACAAACTTTTTCTAAAAACGTTGAAATTACTGAAACCATAAAAATTCCTGAGAAAAATATAGCTAATACTGTTAAATATCAATCATTTGAATTATCAACAATAACATACTACTCTTATGGTGCTATCAATGTCATTCTAGGGGGTTAGATTGGTTCCTATTGAAACCATTTGTCAATTATTGAACATGTTTACACTACCAAAGACAAATTATGACACGCATTTTTTTTTTTCAAGTTTTATATAGCACTGGAGAAGTTCAGAACTATTTAAGCTCATACAGTGTTTGTTTTACTATGGTCAAACCTTTACCACTTATCGAATATCAATTTACTCCTAAAGATACACTTGATTATTCTCGTCTAAGGAAATATGGTCATTTAATATTATTTGTTACATGGTTTCTATTTATCATTTCAGTAAATTCAATATTTGAACTATGGAGATATGTCATCCTGCCTTTATCATCACTGCTACGTGATAATCTAACGATTTACTTTGAGACACTTGATTCTTATGTATTTAAGCTATGGTGTATTTATATTGTTTGCTGGTGGTGGGCGTTAATATCCTGGTGTGGATTAGAAATGTTTCGTAATTCTAAGAATTGAAAACTACAACTGTTTCCAATGAGAAGATGATGCACAATGAATGCTTTGAATTAGTGCTATTTTAGTTGTAGATGGCTAATCCACATGTCATAACACAATAATTAAGAGATTTTTTAGTTAGCAGACTGGTTCTTGCAGTTGAAGGTCTTATTGGGTCCCTATTAAACCAAATTAATAAACATAACCGATGGAAATCAAATTTGTAGTACTAACCAGTACGACCAAGATTTTTTTCTTTAATAAATTTTGCAAACTTTCATCGGGAATCAATCGATTCTATTTCTGTACCATATAATCTTTTCCTTCTATTTCTTTATAATTTGTTACCATCTTAGAGAATGTTCGTGTGCAGCAGCAAAATTCCAAACAACTGCAAATGTTAAAGAAAAAGAATCCAAGTTGCGTAATTTCAATATCATCCCTCAGACGTGGAGTTGGAAGGAAATTGTGATCTACAAACTCCACCCCAAAAAAAAGAGAATAATTGGTTCTCATATCAATTGAAAGTATAGCCACTATGGATCAAATAAAAAAATGGTTATTAACATCGTAACCTTAGTCTCATGATACCCATTACATGAATTATTCACGGTAGAATCGCATAGTCTTTGTGAGTTGGATCATTCTTTAGCAAAACGGGGCTTTCAAAATGAAAATTAATACTAAAAAAAAAAAAAAAAAAAACTACTGAAGTTACGAATTTCATGTTGGGATGAATGGAAGCGGTAAATATGCCCTTCTAATAGCCCAAAAATATCCTATCCAACGGTAGACTACGTTGCAGGTCAAAAAAAAAACAGCAACAAAAAGATCCACATACCCAATCAGACGAAGAAAAGTCTTTCATCTTGAATTGATCTGAAACGGGTATTGAACATTTCACATCATTCTTTATGGAACCAATTGTGGCTGTAATGGAAACCACAATTGGCGGAGTTTTTCCATTTCTTTTTCTTTATTTCTTTCTCAATTGTTCTTAACATCAATTCTTTATATATTTCAACATCCATTGGGTTTTTTAGTTTCTTTTTCTTTGTTTTCAATTGCTATTCTATTGTCGTAATGTCTACGGTATATGATTGGGAAGCAAAGAGAAAGATCATTTTTTCACAACCGCGGAAAATTGATCTAAACAAACAAAAAAAAAAACTTACAGGTCAGTAAAAAAAAGGGGGTAAACAAAAAAACAAAACAAATATGCGGGATCGTTTAAATGCATCTTTGCTTTTTGAAAATTTCATGTTTTAGAATAAATGATATTTTGAACACAACAGAAGAAGAGTATCCCTCCTCCTTTAATTTTACCCCGTGGAATGGGAAAATCGACATTAAGACCCAAATCAATTTGCCTTTCAAATATGACTATAAATAACGCATAATTTGTCTGTTTTTTTTTTTTTGGAATCAATTGAATTTTCTCTTTTGTTTTCTTTGCTCTTTAGAATTTATTCATCAATAGTAATAATAAGTAACAATGGTTTTTGGTTTCGGTAAAAAAGACAACGACGACAACGACAACGACAGAAGACGTGATAACGACGATTCTTACGGTTCTTCCAATAGAAGAGATAACGACAATTCTTACGGTTCTTCTTCTTACGGTAATGATGATAATAATGATTCCTACGGTTCTTCTAACAAGAGAAACAATGATTCCTACGGTTCATCAAACAATGATTCCTACGGTTCATCAAACACTGATTCCTATGGTTCTAATAAGAAGAGCAATGACTCATATAGTTCATCCTCCTACGGTAATGACAATGATGATTCTTATGGTTCTTCAAACAAGAAGGGCAAGGATTCCTATGGTTCATCCTCCTACGGTAATGACAATGATGATTCTTATGGTTCTTCAAACAAGAAGGGCAAGGATTCCTATGGTTCATCCTCCTACGGTAATGACAATGATGATTCTTATGGTTCTTCAAACAAGAAGGGCAAGGATTCCTATGGTTCATCCTCCTACGGTAATGACAATGATGATTCCTACGGCTCTTCAAACAAGAGAAATGACAATTCCTATGGTTCATCTTCTTATGGTAATGATAACGACAACTCTTATGGTTCATCAAACAAGAGAGGTAATGATTCCTATGGTTCTTCTTCATTTGGCAATGATAATGACAATTCTTATGGATCTTCTAACAGAAGAGACAATGACAATTCCTACGGTTCATCAAACACTGATTCCTACGGCTCTTCCAACAGAAGAGATGACGATGACTCCTATGGTTCTTCCAACAGAAGAAACAACGACTCTTATGGTTCATCTGATTATTAAGTTATTCAATTCTTCCTTTTGTTTGAAATTGTTTCCTAAGTGTATAAAAAAATAGTAATGGTTGCAAAAATGAAAATAATATAAAACCAACCTTTAAGAAATCAAAATGATTTAAGATTGTTTAAAATATATGCAACGTCCTTTACGATAAATTTTCTTTGTCCATTTTTAACTTTGTAGGAAAACACTTTAATTCCTTTTTATTAAATTATTTGATTGAGATTTTAGCTTAATCAGTTGATCAATATTACCAGAAATGACCAATGATTTGTAAATAACATATTTGTCTTGACGATGTTAAGACAATATATTTTTAAAGAACTTTTGTAAATGTTCTATGCGTAAATACGAATAGCTCAATGTATTTTTTGATGAGTAAATCCTAATTCTGTTCTAATTGATTTTACTACTACTAAAGAGAAGCCAACAGTTAGTTACTTGTAATAATTAAACCCATCACATAGATTATGAAACTACATGGGACCAAATTAACACGTGCTCTCAATAAGGGGTTGGTTGGTTAATAGTGTGTCATAAGCAATTTACTCTGTGCAGGCGGCAGGGCCAAATTTATTCAAAGAAGACAGAACGACGGCCCGCCCGCAAAAAAGTATGAACAACAAACTCACAACAGAAACAGAAGCAGAAAAAAAAAAAGAAAGAAAAAAAAAAAATCGCCGACGAAAATCAATTTTTCTAATCATCAGGAAAATTCTCCCTTACTTGATACTCAACTCAACTAAACTCAACCAATCAACAACTTCTAAAGAATTCAACAGTTTGTTTTTTTAGTTTTCACAGCTATAATCTAGGGTATTTTTTTTTTTTACTTTTCATTCATAACAAGTGCCCACACATCCCATCTAGAGGCTGACTTTCTTTTCTTCATTGTTCAGAGAATATAATTAAAGTGGCTCTATATTGTATCATATTTTTTTTGTTTGTTTTTGGCTTTCTCTCCATAGAACAACTTTGATAATTAATCATTTTACAATTATCAATTTATCAAACCAGGGTAGAATAACATTCAACGACATCATTATTACCAATTAGCATTTCTTTCCCGATCAACAAATTTTTGATTGTCCCCATTTTATTTTTAGAATATTATCTATCCGTGGCATCCCCTCCTCGCTTTCTTATAATCTTGTATTAGTAGTCCAGATATTTGCGTTTTTTTTTTATTCATTTCTTTTTTTATCATAAATTCACATTTTGAAAGGCGGATAGTTAAAAAGATAATAGGCAATGCTGAATCCGAGTTCTCCAACACAAGCGGATCCCAATTCAAATGCGGGTGAAGATATAAATAATACTACCAAAGATGTATCAATGGTTGATGTCAGTAAAGCAGACGGTGATCAACAACCAAGAAGAAGAAGATCAACTTTGAATTTAACTGATGAAATTGATTTAGATAGAATGAATATTGATAATAGCGGAGCTTCACAAGATATAGATGACAAGATGAATATTGATCCATCATCAACAAATTTACAACAACAACAACAACAACAAGGAGGGAATCCTATTCCTCCAAATATCCCACAACAACAACAACAGCAACAACAACAACAACCAGTACCAGGACCAGAAGCAACAATTGCAGTTCCTGTAGATATCAAATGGGTTCAAGGTGGTCAAAAGGTCTATGTTACTGGTTCTTTTACTGGATGGAGAAAAATGATTGGATTGGTTAAACAACCCGATAATAATTTCCTGATCACTTTGGGATTACCAGTCGGTACACATCGTTTTAGATTTGTTGTGGATAATGAATTAAGATTTTCTGATTTTTTACCTACTGCAACTGATCAAACGGGTAATTTTGTTAATTATATTGAAATTACTCCTGATAATGTCCAACAACATTTGTTGCAACAACAACAACAACAACAAGAAGGCGCACCACAACAGCAGCAACAACAACCTGCACAAGAACAATTAGATCTACAACAAGGAGAAGCAGGTAGAAATGATCAACAAGGACTTGGTGGTGGTCGTAGAGCATCAGTTGGTGGAAGATCAAGAAGTAATTCCATGTGGGGATTGACTAATGATGATGATGATATGGGTAATGGTTATTCAAGATATTATGATGATGAAAGTACAGCATTGGATGCTAAAAAATATCAGTACATTAGTGATATTCCACCTATTTTCACAGATCCAAAAGTGATGGAACAATATTATGTTGCCATAGATAAACAATCTAGAAGTAATAATGGTCAACAACAAGCATGGTTGCATCCACCTCAATTACCTCCACATTTAGAAAGTGTTATCTTGAATAATTTTAACAATAATAATGAAAACAATAGTGGTGCTTTACCAATTCCAAATCATGTTGTGTTGAATCATTTGGCAACAACTTCAATTAAACATAATACATTAGCTGTTGCCTCAATTGTAAGATACAAGAGAAAATATTTGACGCAAGTTTTATACGCACCACTACAACCACCACCAGCACCACCACAAGATAACCAACAACAAGAGCAACAACAAGTGTGACGTTATTAAAGTGATAGATATTTTAAAAAATTACCTCCTTCCCCAACACGCATTGATGATGATAATAATTAAAATTAATTGAAAGAGTCGTTTTTATAAAAAAAAAAAAGAATACATAAATAAAGAATCATAAAAAAAAAGAAGAAAAAAGATCATTACGAAATACTTTATTACCTTATTTATATGTATTATTATATACTTTAATATAATGAAAGGTTTAGATGAAATTAATGATAATAGTAAAACAAAAAAAAAAATGTCTTTTTATTCAATTAATTAATTTGTTATAGCTATACATCGTCTATTTATGATTTTTTATTATTTAGAGTTGATTAATTTCTATGATTATAAACAAGATTGACCAAGTATCATTAAGGTCATTTTCAACTTTATTTCTTTTTTTTTTCTTTATATATGTGTCATTACTATTCTGGAATTTATTATTTAAACAACAGAGGCAACATGAGTAGATTGGTAACGACCAGAAGCATCTTGAGAAACATTACCTGGCCAATCAACTCTTGGAACCCAAAGGGAAACAGTTTGACTAGCAACTTCAGCACCTTTAACACCAAAGACTTTATCGAATTTTTGTCTATACCAATAAGCTTCTTTAGTACTTGGAACAAATGGACTCCAATGAGCTGGAGGATTAGCAAAATCTTCATCACTAACAACTTTTTCAGCAGTATCTTTTAAACTATCAATCCAAGAATAACCAACACCATCTGAAAATTGTTCTTTTTGTCTCCAAAGAATTTCTTCTGGTAAATATGGTTTAACATCTGGTTCATCAGAAGTATCAAAAGCTTTTCTTAAAATGTATTTTTCAATTCTACCTGGTTTAATCATTTTATCTTCAGGGTTAATGTTCATACAAACTTCCAAAAATTGTTTATCCAAAAATGGAACTCTTGCTTCCAAACCCCAAGCCATGGTAGATTTGTTAGCTCTAAGACAATCAGCATAATACAAGTTTTTAACTCTTGAAACACATTCTTGATGGAATTCTTTAGCATCTGGAGCATTAGCAAAATATAAATAACCACCAAAGATTTCATCAGAACCTTCACCAGAAAGAACCATTTTAACACCTTGAGCTTTAATTTTTCTAGATAATAAATACATTGGAGTAGAAGCTCTAATGGTAGTAACATCATAAGTTTCCAAATGATAAATGACATCATCTAAGGCATCATGACCTTCTTCTAAAGTAAAAGTATGAGAATGATGAATAGTACCAATGAAATGAGCAACTTTTTCAGCAGCTAATAAATCTGGAGCACCTGGTAAACCAATGGCAAATGAATGTAATTGGTTATAAGCACCAGTAGAATGTAAAGAACCCTTATCATCAACACCAGATAATTCTTTGTTGGCATCAATACCGGTTGGACTGATGGTAGTGGCAGCTTTTTTAGTTTCTCTAGCAGCAATAGAAGCAATTAAAGAAGAATCCAAACCACCAGATAATAAAACACCATATGGAACTTCAGCCATCAATCTCTTTCTAACAGCCAATTCTAAAGTTTCTCTAACTTGTTTGTAATCAACTGGAGTTTGAGGAATTTTAGAAGAATCCCACCAAGTTGGTTCGAAATATCTTGTTAATTTATCAGTGTTTGAATCATAAACATGACCTGGAGGGAAAGCAATAATTTCATCACATTCTTCAGTTAAACATTTCAATTCACTAGCAAAATATCTAGTGTTTGGAGTTTTTGAAGATTTACCCATGTATAAAGTAGTAATACCGATTGGATCTCTAGCGGCAACAATTCTATCATTTTTTTTATCATATAAAACCCAAGCAAACATACCATCTAAATATTTTGGAGCATCAGTATCATATTTTTCGAATAATGGAATGATTGGTTCACAATCACTTAAAGATTTAAATTTATAATCAGGAAATTGTTCTCTTAATTGAATATGGTTATAAATTTCACCATTAACAGCCAAAGTAAAGTTACCATCTGGGGAAACAATTGGTTGAGCACCAGAATCTAAACCAACAATAGCTAATCTTTCATGACATAAAATAGTACTGTTTTGAACAACATTACCTGACCAATCTGGACCTCTATGTCTAATTAATTTGGAGTATTGTAAGGCCTTGCCTTTAAATTCATCAACTTGTGGTTGTCTATAAGCAGCAAAAATACCACACATCTTTTATTTCTTGTCTATAGTAACAAATATAAAAATATAAATAAAACTTCTAACGATAGTTATTCTCTTTAAACAATAAAAAAGAAAAAACAAAAGGAGAAAGAAGAAAGAAGAAGAAGAAGAAGAAGAAGAGTTTTAAATAAAGAAAAATTCGATGATGATGGAATCAGAGAATTTTCTGTTGTATTTTAAATATTACATAAGAGAAGAAAATTTTTTCAATCAATCAATCAATCAATGAAAAATTCGTTGTTGTCGACGCCGCAGGAATTGGCCCAATAAGGAAGTAAGAAAACTTTAGATTTTAAGTGTGAGTCTTTTCTTATAATTTTTAATTTAACCCCAGTTGTGTGACTCAGACAGACAGTTACAGAAAGAAATCAAAAAGAAGAAGAATATTCGCGCTCTTTTGCACAGGTACACGTACAATTTCACCTCATTCACTCACACACACACTCACACACACTCATACTCACAGTGTATTTTGTAATACAACTTTGCAACTTTATGACTCAGTCCACACTGACAAAAATAGGACAAAATTATTTAACCTCACTCAAAAACAGTGCACTAAGTAAAAAAAAAAAAAGGATTGGATCTCATAAGGTAAAGATAAGATTCCCTATCATTATCATCATCATGAGATGACTCAATTGATAAATTCTAAAGATTATTACAGATTAGACACGTATCCTTTTGTTTATATCTTTCATTCTTTCATATTATTCAGTTAATAACTATGACCTTAAATCGAATCCTCATCATCAAACTCTTCTTCTTCTTTTTATTCTCTGTCAGAATTATTTTGTTGCTCTTCGCTGGTGGTTTAATTTCTTTGTTGCATCTCATAACCTTATTCACACGACTCGAAACGGGATCTCAGTTCCGTTGACTTGTTACAATTTTATTTTTTTTTTGCTTGCTCGTAAACACAATTACACAATACAGTACTTTTCTTTTTCTTTTATTTATTGGGACAATAGACACGAATATTTATTATGTGTATGTAAAAAACGTCTACTATATATATATGATCTAAAGTTTATTGGCCAACCTTAATTCATCATGATCTCTATCAAAATTCTTATCAGTTATATCAATAACATAATTAACATAGATCTCATTAGTTAACATATTTTTCTTTTTAGTTCCTTGTTGTAATAATTGATGTAAAAATTCATTCAATACACTTAAATCTTTTAAATTCAATATTTGAACAAATGCTTTGGTTTTAGCTTTATTCTTGAATATCTTGACCAATTGCAAATTATTCAAATAATATAAATCACTCACCAAATACTGCTTGTTAATAGATTCCAACGATTTAAATTGTTGTCTCTTTTTTGATTTATCAATGATGTATTTCAACAACCCTTTAGTAGTTGGATATCTTAATTCATCATCATCCACAACAATTTTATCATGTTTTTTTTGTTGTTTAGTTCTACTATAACTATCAGCCAAATTAGTTGTCATTTCTAAAATGTTGGAAATCAAAACAATATAGGATTCTAAAAATGGTTGCGCCAAATTAGCAAAAAGTTTGACATATTCATGATCGGCAATCTTGTATACTGAATCTTGATAATCTTCTTCTTTTTTAGAAACAACTTGCAATTCAACCAAATCATTTAAAATAAATGACAATTCATTTCTATCATTCTCATCATAATCAAACAAAAATTCATTCTTAAGGAATCCTGTCAAAATATAGAAAATTTTACCCACAACTCGATGATTACAATTTGGACATCCATCAAGTAACAATAAAATGTACATCACAAGACATCTCTTTATTATCAAATGAATAGTCAAATTCTTGTAATACAACAACTCAATTGGTGATTCAATCTTAATGGAATTGGTCTTCTTATTCACCTTAATGAGCCTGAAAAATGAAAATATTTGGTCTTTAACAAGTGTTTCCAATTGAGCATCTGAACAAACCAGCATATCCTCCAAAATTTTACTATTGGTAACACTGTTCTCATTCTCACGAAGTAATGCTTGAACAACAATTCTTAACACCGGGATTAATTCAGAAACGTCAAAAATGCTTTTGTTGGAAAAATCATAGAATGCTTGAATAGCTGTACCAACAATTGAAACTTCAGGAATATAACTATTTCTATTGACTTCATGCAAGATTTTGAACCCTAATCTTTTCAAGTTCACACCATCAGGCATTTCTTTCTCAAGTTCGGATTGACTATCAAGATATTCAGAGATTTTAAATGATTCTCCAAGTTTGACAAAAATCTTCCCTGTTAACGTTCTTTGACTATTATCATTCCAACCTTTATCATCAAATACAACATCATTTTTAAGAAAAAATGCACTAGCAGCTACAGATAGTGTGCCAAATAAACTTTCTTGAGTTTTATCATCCCCTTTTAACTCTTTCAAGAAAGCATCATTTTCGTAAACACGTTCATAAGTAACTGCAACTGGTTGGAATAATAAATCAAAATTGGAATTCTGGTCTACATTTCTTTGCTTGTCATAAATTGAACACAACGTTTTCAAAATACCATATTTTGGAAGTAACAATTTACCATCTCTTGATCTAGTACCTTCAATAAACACTTCAAAGGAAACTTTGTTCATCAAAAAGAATTCAATGACATTGTTCAAGTTTCTTTCAGTATATAACTCATTGTTGAAAGAACGTGGAATGAAAATTGCCCCCAAGTTTTGTAACAAGCCACCTAAAACAGCAACATTCAAATTCTCACCCGCAATAACAACTGGTGTACCCATTTGAAATCTAATACAAATGACGTGAATAATTATATAGTCCAAATGGGATTGATGAGAAGGTAAAAATATGATAGACATCGGGTCTTTAAGATATTGTTGGTATAATCTAGAAATATCATCATTGGAAACCCAAATTCCTTTAGGAAATAATTTTCTCATAAGAAACAATACTGTCACATAAGCTGAACGAAGAAATTCATGAGATGGAAAAGTTGGTAAATTCTTTTTATTTTGTTGTTTATAAAATTTCACCATATAATCCTTTACTTTTTGAAATCTTTCCTTAAATTGATCAGCAGTGATCAATTTCAAATTCAATTCTTGATTGATTAAATCATAAACAATTTCGTCTAATTTAGTGTCGTCTCTTTCTAATTTGTTGTTCATATAGTCGTTAAACTTCTTTTTGAATTCATCTGAATGTTTGTTAGTGAAATAACGGTATTCTTGAATGGAATAAATCTTATCGAATCTTGAAGGACCAGTTATTAATCTGAGAGCCAGATATAAAATATTGAAAGATTTACTGGCTTCTTTACCATTTCCTTCAATATCGATATACGTTTCTTTATCAGTTGGAAGAGGGAATTTCAAAGGGACATTTGGTTCTGTAAAAAGATCTTGAAGGATATTAACATCGAAATCTGAATTTGAAATGTCTTCAGCTGATGAAACTGATTGTGTTTGGACATCTGGCAACATGTTCTTGTTGTTGAAAGAAAAAAAAATGGAGAATTCTGGGGCAGATGTGAAAAAAAAGGCAAACAAAAATTTCAAATCTAATAAAAATAGATCGGTGATAAGTAAACGGAAATACGAAAAAAAAAGTCTAGTGGATATATAGCTGTATATAAAACAACAATATCAATAAGAATCAAAAGGAGTTAAATGGAGTTGCTCTCGATGGTTTGAGTTGTAGTGATATAATGGGAAGGAATGGAAATAAATTGAAATGAAATTATATAATTAATTACCCCACTATCAGAGAAGAATCAATAAAAAGTTATATAAACTAAGGAGAAAAAAAAAAAAAAAGAGAAAAGAATAATCAATTGAAAGGGGAAATCAAATTATATTTATATTTGAAAGTTCATGTTTAAATTATAAGATAAAGGAATGTCATGATCAATGTAATATTGACTAAATCTTTTACTCTAAACGTATATATACACATGTCTATTACGGCTATAAGTGGAAACTTGTAATAATAATAGAAAGCAAACAAGTAATGAACCAAAAAAAAAAAAATATAAAATAAAAATTGTTGGGTAAAATTAGTGTGTCTTCTCTGTGTGTGGGTAAAAGAAATACACTGATTTTTAAATTAGGTCCATTGACATCACTACATTTTGGCTGTGAAATATTTGAAAAGTGTTTGTTTCTTCAAAATAATTATTGTATAATATCCAAACTCTAGGTTTCTTTCATTGTAGATTATTTATCTATCACACAAGTCATCTGATTCATCCGTGGTCAAAATTACGGCCATTTTCTTCTTTTGTTTATTTGTTAATATATTTAAGCTTATCAAAATCATTAACAACTAAGAAATAGAAATACCCACAGGGTCAATCGGTTGCAGATACCTTTTGACACTGGAATAACGCGTATCTATTGAATGAAATGAACAAACATTATACCATTCCCTCTCTATAGTATCATATCATATCATTCCAATATTATGTACAATAATAATAACTATGGTTAGAAAACTTCTTTGTCACTTCTTTATACTTTGGTCCTACAATTCAGTATATCTTTACACTATAATTCGAACAAATGAAAAATCAAAACCCCTTAAGCAATGCAGATCTCCTATGATTTTACTTTTGAAGAAAACAGCCAACAAAAAGCATAAATGGACTACTGAGTTCATAACTTTCCATTTTAAGTAAAAAGAAAAAAAAAGAAAAGAAAAGGACATGAATTAATTGTTTGCTTTTGATAGTAACTTTTTTTTCTTTTATTTTATTTCACTATTCTATTTGTATACGCTGTGTTCAACACATTAAGTTATTTCTTGTCCCGGTGGTTTCACAATTTACCACTAAAGAGATATGGGTGGGAGAAGTAGTGAAATTAATTGTTCAACGTCATCTTTGATTCTTTACAGTTCGACCACTCAGTTAGTGGGTCTGTCGGTTGGATGATCACTCGCTGGACCCGCCCCCTTCCCCCACACATTTCTACAGGGGTCGCATTCTCAACATTTACTACCCCAGCCCCCCGCATAATCAAAATATTATACAGTAAATAGAGAAAATGAAAACATTTTATTTGCGCAACCAATTGAGAGATCTTATTTCAATTAATTATCCATAATAACCAGACTATAAAGTATATGAGAAGTTAAAGATTAATGTATAAATAGAAAATAAAAAAGAAACTAAAAAAAAAAAAATAAAAAAATAAAAATAAAAAATATACAATAATACATAAAGCATTACCCCCAAAAAATCATCAAAAAAGAACCGAAAAATTAAAAGATAAACATCACTAGATAATTACATATAAATGAAAATAAAACACAGAAGTACGGGGAGGAGGGGTGCCAACACTGTGCGGATCAAATGCGCAACCCACACAGATTCTATTGGTTGTTAGAAGGAAATAAATGCATTTTACAGATCGGAACTATCAGTTACTGGTTGCCATAATTTTTACTCTAAATACTCTTTTTGATAAATAATTTGTATACCTACGTAAAATTATGAAAGCCGGTGTCTTACACGGTGATTTATATTGTATCAGTACTTTTTATAGGCTTTCATATTACTTTTGCTTAACAATGATTGTGGAACATTAGGCTATTGAAACTGTTGAAAAATAATTGGTGGATACACGAATAATAAGGACAGTTAAGTTCATATAAATAGTTGATTTATGCACTACTTTTATTTACTTAAAAGTGATTGTACGCACTAGAAAAAAAAAATGGTTTATTTACATCTGCGGTTTTCATCCGCACACTTTTGTCGACCCCACTTTAAATCTAAATTGACCTATTGACATGAATCAACAACGTTCTTTTCCAAAACCGTTGTTACATATCATGAAAAAGTAAAGTTCAAAAACAACTTAGCAACAGCAGAAGTAGATTTACCAGCAAACCGCCCTCTCAAAATCAGAAAAATGAGATAATAGCAGATAATAACAACCCAAAGACTAATGAACCTCCAGTAGAGTACCTTATACCGCCATTCTCAGCTGGTAATACAATTGCTGGAGAAAACGTGGATGAAGCTTGGTTGGTGTAACTGGATATAACTCGGGAAGTAGCAGGCACAGTAAAGGAACTTGTCATTGTGGAGCCAGAAATATTCGGTAAACCCGACAAAACAATCGATCCACCTTCAGCAGAACCATTATTGGAACCACCGGATGGAGAATCACCATTATCGGCACCATTCTCAGCACTATTACCAGAACCATTGTATTGAGCATCACCATCGTTGGAATCTCCATGGCCACTAGTTTCGGAGTTGGAACCAGTGTCTGTAAGACCTGTAAACCCAGAATTAATAGAAGTAGTAGTGATATCAACATCACTGCTTTGAATTGACGAAATTTCCGCAGCATTACCGCCAGAAATGGTACTGGATGGCTGTTCACCATTACTTGCTTCTGAACCTTTGGCTTCTTCCGAACTATCAGCTAAACCAGATGCAAGGACAGTAGTAGTACTTTCGAAACAGATACTCTTGATACATTCCGTAACAATAGAAGTCACAGGATACTCACCACCGTCATTCACAAAAGTAGAAGTGGCGATATTGTTGTCAGAACCTCCAACAGTTGAGTCACTGGTAACTGTAGCAACCTCTCCATTTTGACTTGTGAACATTGTATTCACCCCTGTACCACTAGAAGTAACAAATTCGTCTTCCAGATACTTTGGGACATCAATACTTTCAACATCAGCAATAAAATCTGGAACCTCAGTACCAGAAACATGCTTCTCAGATGAAGCGTAAGTGGAAGTGGATGGAACTGGGGTAGTGGTGTTACTAAAATACGGTCTCAATGTCGACAAGCTACTCCCAGACAAACATTCATCACCACCTCTCTTACAAATATTAGGGTAAGAATTTTCAGCTTCAGGTGAGAAGGTGCTAACAGTGGCAACGGATGACCCAGATTGACTCACAATGCCTGACTCAGTGACAACAGAACCGTCACTGTTGGTCGTAGTCCAAGTGGTGGTGAATTCAGCAGCAACCAATTGTGGGAATGTGGTAATAGTAGCAACGGAGGACCCAGATTGACTCACAATGCCTGACTCAGTGGCAACAGAGCCGTCACTGTTGGTGGTGGTCCAAGTAGTGGTGAACTCAGCTTGGACATCAGATTCAGGTGGGAAAGTAGTCAAGGTGGTGAATGATGATCCAGATTGACTCACAATACCAGACTCAGTGACAACAGAACCGTCACTGTTGGTAGTGGTCCAAGTAGTGGTGAATTCAGCAGCAACCAATTGTGGGAATGTGGTAATAGTAGCAACGGATGACCCAGATTGGCTGACAATGCCAGACTCAGTGACAACAGAACCGTCACTGTTGGTCGTAGTCCAAGTGGTGGTGAACTCAGATTGGACATCAGATTCAGGTGGGAAAGTAGTCAAGGTGGTGAATGATGATCCAGATTGACTCACAATACCAGACTCAGTGACAACAGAACCGTCACTGTTGGTTGTAGTCCAAGTGGTGGTGAACTCAGCTTGGACATCATATTCAGGTGGGAAAGTAGTCAAGGTGGTGAATGATGACCCAGATTGGCTGACAATGCCAGACTCAGTTTCAATAGAACCGTCACTGTTGGTTGTAGTCCAAGTGGTGGTGAACTCAGCTTGGGACATCATATTCAGGTGGGAAAGTAGTCAAGGTGGTGAATGATGACCCAGATTGGCTGACAATGCCAGACTCAGTTTCAACAGAACCGTCACTGTTGGTTGTAGTCCAAGTGGTGGTGAACTCAGCTTGGACATCAGATTCAGTAGATTCTATATGATTGTAGCTAGGTGAAGCATCAGAAGTGGAAGATGCATCGGATTCACTAGCATCAGAAGCACCAGAGGTAGCAGGTGCATTGGATTTATTAGCATCAGAAGCAGATGAAGCATCAGAAGCAGATGAAGCACCAGAAGTGGCAGATGCATTGGATTCACTAGCTTCGGAAGCACCAGAGGTAGCAGATGCATCGGATTCACTAGCATCAGAAGCAGATGAAGCACCAGAAGTGGCAGAAGCATTGGATTCACTAGCATCAGAAGCACCAGAGGTAGCAGAAGCATTGGATTCACTAGCATCAGAAGCACCAGAAGTGGCAGATGCATCGGATTCACTAGCATCAGAGGCACCAGAAGTGGCAGAAGCATCTGATTCACTAGCATCAGAAGCACCAGAGGTAGCAGATGCATTGGATTCTCTAGCATCAGAAGCAGATGAAGCACCAGAGGTAGCAGATGCATTGGATTCACTAGCATCTGAAGAAGTTGAGATATCAGAAGCAGATGAAGTATTAGAACTAGATGCAATTTCAGAAGTAGATGAGATATCAGAAGCAGATGAAATATCAGAAGCAGATGAGACATCAGAAGTAGATGAGGGATCAGAGTCACTAGCATCGGAAGCAGATGAAATATCAGAAGCAGATGAGACATCTGAAGTGGCTGAAGCGTCAGAGCTTTCTAAAACATTTGATTCGGAAATTAAACTGGATGTACTAAAATTGGATTCACTGGCGTCATCTTGAGTGGATGAAACTTCAGAACTTGGATGGGAGCTGGATTCAAGGATGGAAGAAGTGCTTTCAAACGCGTACAGTGACAGCGAATTAAAATATTCCAGGAAAGATTGCAAAGAAGATTCGCGCTCAGTGGAAGAAACAATTTCTGAACTTGAAGACACGACTTCGGAACTTGAAGAAGACAAAGGTGGGAACAAAGAAGTTGTTGTGTACCATGAACCCAGCGAATCAGTAGTTACATCAACGATACCACTTTCAGTAGTAACTGAACCATCAGATAATGTTGAAGTCAATGTAGTTAAATACTCTGTTGGTTCGACACCTGGAGCTTCTGGAAGTTCTTTACATTCAATTTGACATGTAGCTGAAATACTTCTTTCTGGAACTGGCCCGTTGTATTGAACACTACCGAGCAATGTTGAGGGCAATCCAATGCCTGAATCAGTGACAATTTGAAACAAAGAAGAACTATAACCCAAACCAATATTGAAGTTTTGTTTTAGTAAAAGGTTTCTCAAAGTCAAAATACCCGTAGATTCATCGTACTTGTACGCTGGATAGCTTGGAATAAGGTTTCCAACTAGTGGCACTGTTAAACCGATTTTGTTACCGTTTCCAAATCCATAAACGTTGAATGTTTGGGCCGTGGAAAGAGCTTGAACAATGATTGATGATTCACTGTCTTTTAAGTAAATGCTTTGTTGGGTATCAAATGATTGAATAGCGCTGGGAATATATATTGTCGAGTTCTTCTGAGCTGTGATACACCCACTTCCTTTAATGTCATTTGTTTGTCGATACACCTGATTGATCAAACAAATCTGACCATCATTTGTGATTGAACCCAAGGGTGTGCCCAATCTCACATCACCAGAATTTCTTTGGTTCTGATAGAATACTAGTAAACCAGAATTTTTCCACAGGAGGGAGGTGATAGACATGGTGCCAGATAAGACCCCAGAAGCCCCAAGATACATTTCACCATTGTTTTCAAATTTTGCACCCACCAAATTATAGGTAGAGGATGTTAATGATTTGACAGAATTAAAAGCAATGATACCATCATTCACAATTGACCCTAATGTTGAAAGCAAAGTAACATCAAGACCAATTAATGGGGACGTCAGAGTAATGTAAAACCCAGCATCGGATTCCACATTAAGTGAGCCAGCAAGAGCAGATACAGCATTATTGATAATGGACCATGAAGCGCCTGTGTGAATATTTATATCACCAACGCTTAAACTGATAGAGCCCCTATCCACAGTATCAACTGTGATGTCTTTGGACAAAGCATAATTAAATAAAAAGACCAATGTTAACAGAATTGGTCTAAGTAGCAACATTGTTGGATAAATAATGTTTATAATAGTTGCTTTATATCATAATCAATTTAAAAGAAGTTGGAAATAGATGCTAATACATATATATATATCAATGTTCCCTCCATTACATTTAGGGTATTCCATACCTTTTCTTTTTCTTAATAGTTGTATGTACTTGGTATAAATATCATAGTTACAATTTTGATATCTTATGCAATATTAGTAATTTGTAATCTCTATTAGACAGGTTAAATATCGAGTATTATGCACTCTAGATACCTGAAGGAAAACCCATATTAACTGCTAGGATTTTCCACAATCTTTTCATATCTTCTATTCTCGTATACGTATGTTTCCGAAATCCCGAAAGGTAAAACCTTATTTGAAAAAGGTATGTCACAAGAACTCTAAACTCTTGAAATATCGCTAACTACATAAAAACAAGGAAAAAAAGATCCGTTACTCAGCATCGAAGCTCCTAAATTCTTGGAAAAATTCCAAGAGCTGCATCTATATGCTTCGCTCTTTACACAACCCATTTTTTTTCCTATTGTTTTTGCACCTTTCTTTACAACCATATGTTTCGCACACTGAGTTGTGCCAAAAATACCTTGCTACAACGAAAAGAAAATGTAAACGCATATTGGAAGACTCAAGGGTATACAAAGAAATTCCAGCTAATTATTAAACGTGAGTTTTTACACATTGCTGTACTTAGAAACTATCTTGCGGTATAAAGCCAATCAGTATATGGAACCTGGTTGTTCTTCCGCGCCATAAAAAGAAATCTACTGTTGCAGAATACTGCATTAAGGTTAATAACCCGGTCCAAGATTTATTTTTCTTGCATGAACTTAAGTTATTGCCACATGGGTCCAACAGAGTTCAAAAGGACTCCTAACACTCATCAGTACAGTGTTTCTACTTTCAGTTCGTACCAAGTTCAAAGAAATTATTAATACTAGTGCGACAATTTAATTTATAGTAAGGGAGATTAATTGTTCATAGTAAATGGAGTCAAAATGTTCACACCAGCGGAAATAATACTTTCAAACTAGCTGCCCTTTTTTGTTCATACCATATATCATACATTTTCAGTATGAACAAATAGAGGTCACGTAATATGAACATTTTTTGCGCACTAGTATCAAAAATATTGACCGCCTTAATATGAACTTTTCTTTGCAAATAGTGCGAATAATTTTGACTCACTGATCTGAAAATTATGCTCAAACTAGCGCGAAATAAAACTGCAACGACTGTACTACACCGACCAAGTCTACATATATCACGTGAATGTCACAGATATAAAATCACTGCAGCACATACTAAACAATAATAAATCACAAATGAAACAGGAATTACAGCTCAACATTCGGCTAGTTTCGCGGTTGCTAGGTACTATCTAATAGAAGTGAAATATAAATTATATAGTTTTCTATTTACTTCGATAGGCTTAAATAAGTGAATAAAGAAAGTGTGCAAAACTCATATTTTAGAGTTAGAAGCAGTGTAGTAATAAACAGAGAAAGAGAATGCTCTCTCAATATGACAAACATCTCCAACTGGATGAATATACAAGTAATGCAAAAAGTACAAGTATTACAATTATTGCAATTGCAATCTATTGAACTGCTAAATGTTGGCAACAAACATAGCCGGCTGGATGACAACCGATGGCGCACTTACTTTGATTGCTCAGTATTCCTCTCAATACTGGGGAAGTGTGCAACAGCTACGCGTTATTTATTAAAAGTGATAGACAAATTCTATGCTCTTATATTTACTTCTATACGCTCTAATAAGAGAATAACATGGTGGTTAACATCAAACAAATTACTACGTTAAACTAGTGCAACCGCTAATATATAGGACGAGGAATATAATGACATACCTCATATCAAGAATAAGGTCAATCCACAACTCATGAAAATAACTTTACTCTTGTTGCAAATGCAATATGTTGAAACTGCCGTGTGTTCGTTAGAAAATAATTAACTGCCTGATATGATAGTGGCTGAGCATAGAGTAATTGCTATATTTTAAATAGATGTAGCCTTTTGCCAATACGATAAATACATTAAACTTTAGAAATCAGGTGGGAAACGGGATATTAAGATTGTGTATGTGTACAAAATGTATAGAATGAGTTATCCGCCAGTAATTATATTGCTTAACCTTTAAATCTAAAGGAAGTTTACTGGTTATTTATGGCAAGTTAAAAACATACTTTCACACTTGGCACATTCACGGAACAAGTTAATCTATCATGCGCCTTATAAAACTTAAATTTCTACATAAACTTAAATGTTACACCCAGTCAAGATGATGATGAGTCGTGTATGCTCAACTAATCTTAGCATGTAGCAATAAATAACAATATTGTATGATGAAGCTCTCTTTTGGTTTATTTCTTGAAGAAGTCGAGTTTATACTTAAGTTTAACCTCTACAGTTGAACATATATCTCTGGTAAGTTTGATGGACTTTTTTTATAAATTACAGTTGTCAATGAAACAATCGAGAAGTATAAAAATGTAAGAACAAAAATTTGGTATTAATAGCGCCCAGTAAATAGCTTACTATACATGATAGTTTCAAATGTAGGTATTTTAAATCTTTCATGTATTGGCATACTGATCACACTAAATACACCTATGAAAAATTCATGAGTTTTTATTAGGCTAGAGAAACAAATTAGATCCTGATTTAAATGGTGTATACCAGATCGAATCCGTTAAAAATGAGAACACAAACCACTGAATGATTTATACTTCGTTTTAGATAACAGTACTATATTGATAAGAAGAAATTACTCGAGGCTTAAAGTTGCAGAGTTCTTCGAAATATGCTTGGCCGAGATGGAATACGACAATATCTAGTAGATAAATCTGAATTTGATTTATATGTATGAGTTAATTCAATTAGTTACGGTTACCTAGACAATATAGAAACCTACGAGAATTCATTTGATATTTCTTTTAGTTTAATTTTATGATCGCTGGGATGGGGTACTTTTTGAACTTACGTGTAGTCCCCATTTGGTCCTTATTGTGATACACAAACCCAGTATTAAGGAAGATACTGGATCATCGAATTGAATCTGACATTGTAGTGAGTAGCCCATATACTCCACGGTTGGCATATTCATCACTAGTAACCACGTTTTAAATCTAAACAAACTCTGAATGAAATTGAAATCATCGCAACCCTGTGTCATATATCACACAATTACAGTTATAGTAGAACTATTGTAGCGCAATGAGGTACATCGAAGTACATATTACTATTGGTTTAATAAAACGAAGAACATTGAAACTAAGATGATACGAAATTGGCTCTTGGTTTTCAGACAACAAACGACAATCTTCTACTTGATTCATATGTAGACATATTATCTATAATAGATCTACAGATTGAATGGTTTGCCATACATGATAGTATTGTCTTATTCTAATTAGTTTTACAACTCAGCCAATATCTTATATTTGCTACCTGTGCGACAGCAACCGTTTCAGAAACAACAAATATCTTTCTAACACTCAATTTTGAATTGCAGACAGAAATAGAAACTGCACTAATCATTCGAGTTAATAATTCATCACCTGAACGTAGCAGACGGATGAATATGCCAGATCAGTACTATAAAATGTATAACAATTTCTTTTTTTTAAAAAAAAAACTAGCTCTATTTTAAGAGAAATCTTTACAAAATTAACCTAAAAGATACATATGACCTAAAATGAATATAGCAGATATGTAAACTAATAACAACGAAAAGTAAACTAAACAATCCACAGGAAATCAAATAATAAAAACAAAACAAAAAAAAAAAAAGCAACATGCGAATTGACATGAATCAACAACGTTCTTTTCCAAAACCGTTGTTACATATCATGAAAAAGTAAAGTTCAAAAACAACTTAGCAACAGCAGAAGTAGATTTACCAGCAAACCGCCCTCTCAAAATCAGAAAAATGAGATGATAGCAGATAATAACAACCCAAAGACTAATGAACCTCCAGTAGAGTACCTTATACCGCCATTCTCAGCTGGTAATACAATTGCTGGAGAAAACGTGGATGAAGCTTGGTTGGTGTAACTGGATATAACTCGGGAAGTAGCAGGCACAGTAAAGGAACTTGTCATTGTGGAGCCAGAAATATTCGGTAAACCCGACAAAACAATCGATCCACCTTCAGCAGAACCATTATTGGAACCACCGGATGGAGAATCACCATTATCGGCACCATTCTCAGCACTATTACCAGAACCATTGTATTGAGCATCACCATCGTTGGAATCTCCATGGCCACTAGTTTCGGAGTTGGAACCAGTGTCTGTAAGACCTGTAAACCCAGAATTAATAGAAGTAGTAGTGATATCAACATCACTGCTTTGAATTGACGAAATTTCCGCAGCATTACCGCCAGAAATGGTACTGGATGGCTGTTCACCATTACTTGCTTCTGAACCTTTGGCTTCTTCCGAACTATCAGCTAAACCAGATGCAAGGACAGTAGTAGTACTTTCGAAACAGATACTCTTGATACATTCCGTAACAATAGAAGTCACAGGATACTCACCACCGTCATTCACAAAAGTAGAAGTGGCGATATTGTTGTCAGAACCTCCAACAGTTGAGTCACTGGTAACTGTAGCAACCTCTCCATTTTGACTTGTGAACATTGTATTCACCCCTGTACCACTAGAAGTAACAAATTCGTCTTCCAGATACTTTGGGACATCAATACTTTCAACATCAGCAATAAAATCTGGAACCTCAGTACCAGAAACATGCTTCTCAGATGAAGCGTAAGTGGAAGTGGATGGAACTGGGGTAGTGGTGTTACTAAAATACGGTCTCAATGTCGACAAGCTACTCCCAGACAAACATTCATCACCACCTCTCTTACAAATATTAGGGTAAGAATTTTCAGCTTCAGGTGAGAAGGTGCTAACAGTGGCAACGGATGACCCAGATTGACTCACAATGCCTGACTCAGTGACAACAGAACCGTCACTGTTGGTCGTAGTCCAAGTGGTGGTGAATTCAGCAGCAACCAATTGTGGGAATGTGGTAATAGTAGCAACGGAGGACCCAGATTGACTCACAATGCCTGACTCAGTGGCAACAGAGCCGTCACTGTTGGTGGTGGTCCAAGTAGTGGTGAACTCAGCTTGGACTCCAGATTCAGGTGGGAAAGTAGTCAAGGTGGTGAATGATGATCCAGATTGACTCACAATACCAGACTCAGTGACAACAGAACCGTCACTGTTGGTGGTGGTCCAAGTGGTGGTGAATTCAGCAGCAACCAATTGTGGGAATGTGGTAATAGTAGCAACGGATGACCCAGATTGACTCACAATGCCTGACTCAGTGGCAACAGAGCCGTCACTGTTGGTGGTGGTCCAAGTGGTGGTGAATTCAGCAGCAACCAATTGTGGGAATGTGGTAATAGTAGCAACGGATGACCCAGATTGGCTGACAATGCCAGACTCAGTTTCAACAGAACCGTCACTGTTGGTTGTAGTCCAAGTGGTGGTGAACTCAGCTTGGACATCATATTCAGGTGGGAAAGTAGTCAAGGTGGTGAATGATGACCCAGATTGGCTGACAATGCCAGACTCAGTTTCAATAGAACCGTCACTGTTGGTTGTAGTCCAAGTGGTGGTGAACTCAGCTTGGACATCATATTCAGATGGGAAAGTAGTCAAGGTGGTGAATGATGACCCAGATTGGCTGACAATGCCAGACTCAGTGGCAACAGAGCCGTCACTGTTGGTGGTGGTCCAAGTGGTGGTGAATTCAGCAGCAACCAATTGTGGGAATGTGGTAATAGTAGCAACGGAGGACCCAGATTGACTCACAATGCCAGACTCAGTGACAACAGAACCGTCACTGTTGGTAGTGGTCCAAGTAGTGGTGAATTCAGCAGCAACCAATTGTGGGAATGTGGTAATAGTAGCAACGGATGACCCAGATTGGCTGACAATGCCAGACTCAGTGACAACAGAACCGTCACTGTTGGTCGTAGTCCAAGTGGTGGTGAACTCAGCTTGGACATCAGATTCAGGTGGGAAAGTAGTCAAGGTGGTGAATGATGATCCAGATTGACTCACAATGCCTGACTCAGTGGCAACAGAGCCGTCACTGTTGGTGGTGGTCCAAGTAGTGGTGAATTCAGCAGCAACCAATTGTGGGAATGTGGTAATAGTAGCAACGGAGGACCCAGATTGACTCACAATGCCAGACTCAGTGGCAACAGAGCCGTCACTGTTGGTGGTGGTCCAAGTGGTGGTGAATTCAGCAGCAACCAATTGTGGGAATGTGGTAATAGTAGCAACGGATGACCCAGATTGGCTGACAATGCCAGACTCAGTGACAACAGAACCGTCACTGTTGGTCGTAGTCCAAGTGGTGGTGAACTCAGATTGGACATCAGATTCAGGTGGGAAAGTAGTCAAGGTGGTGAATGATGATCCAGATTGACTCACAATACCAGACTCAGTGACAACAGAACCGTCACTGTTGGTTGTAGTCCAAGTGGTGGTGAACTCAGCTTGGACATCATATTCAGGTGGGAAAGTAGTCAAGGTGGTGAATGATGACCCAGATTGGCTGACAATGCCAGACTCAGTTTCAATAGAACCGTCACTGTTGGTTGTAGTCCAAGTGGTGGTGAACTCAGCTTGGACATCATATTCAGGTGGGAAAGTAGTCAAGGTGGTGAATGATGACCCAGATTGGCTGACAATGCCAGACTCAGTTTCAACAGAACCGTCACTGTTGGTTGTAGTCCAAGTGGTGGTGAACTCAGCTTGGACATCATATTCAGGTGGGAAAGTAGTCAAGGTGGTGAATGATGACCCAGATTGGCTGACAATGCCAGACTCAGTTTCAACAGAACCGTCACTGTTGGTTGTAGTCCAAGTGGTGGTGAACTCAGCTTGGACATCAGATTCAGTAGATTCTATATGATTGTAGCTAGGTGAAGCATCAGAAGTGGAAGATGCATCGGATTCACTAGCATCAGAAGCACCAGAGGTAGCAGGTGCATTGGATTTATTAGCATCAGAAGCAGATGAAGCATCAGAAGCAGATGAAACACCAGACGTGGCAGAAGCATTGGATTCACTAGCATCAGAAGCAGATGAAGCACCAGAGGTAGCAGATGCATTGGATTCAATAGCATCAGAAGCAGATGAAGCACCAGAAGTGGCAGATGCATTGGATTCACTAGCTTCGGAAGCAGATGAAGCACCAGAAGTGGCAGATGCATTGGATTCACTAGCATCAGAAGCACCAGAGGTAGCAGATGCATCGGATTCACTAGCATCAGAAGCAGATGAAGCACCAGAAGTGGCAGAAGCATTGGATTCACTAGCATCAGAAGCACCAGAGGTAGCAGAAGCATTGGATTCACTAGCATCAGAAGCACCAGAAGTGGCAGATGCATCGGATTCACTAGCATCAGAGGCACCAGAAGTGGCAGAAGCATCTGATTCACTAGCATCAGAAGCACCAGAGGTAGCAGATGCATTGGATTCTCTAGCATCAGAAGCAGATGAAGCACCAGAGGTAGCAGATGCATTGGATTCACTAGCATCTGAAGAAGTTGAGATATCAGAAGCAGATGAAGTATTAGAACTAGATGCAATTTCAGAAGTAGATGAGATATCAGAAGCAGATGAATTATCAGAAGCAGATGAGACATCAGAAGTAGATGAGGGATCAGAGTCACTAGCATCGGAAGCAGATGAAATATCAGAAGCAGATGAGACATCTGAAGTGGCTGAAGCGTCAGAGCTTTCTAAAACATTTGATTCGGAAATTAAACTGGATGTACTAAAATTGGATTCACTGGCGTCATCTTGAGTGGATGAAACTTCAGAACTTGGATGGGAGCTGGATTCAAGGATGGAAGAAGTGCTTTCAAACGCGTACAGTGACAGCGAATTAAAATATTCCAGGAAAGATTGCAAAGAAGATTCGCGCTCAGTGGAAGAAACAATTTCTGAACTTGAAGACACGACTTCGGAACTCGAAGATGACAAAGGTGGGAACAAAGAAGTTGTTGTGTACCATGAACCTTGTGAATCAGTAGTTACATCAACGATACCCCTTCGAATAGTAACTGAATCATCAAATAATGTTGAAGTCACTGTAATCAAATATTCTGTTGGTTCGACACCTGGAGCTTCTGGAAGTGCTTTACATTCAATTTGACATGCTGAGGGCAAGGTTCGTTCTGGAACTGGACCATTGTATCTAACAGAACCTAAAATAGTACTTGGAATACCGGCACCACTATCAGTTACAATTTGAAACAAAGAAGGATTATAGCCCAAACCAATATTGAAGTTTTGTTTTAGTAAAAGGTTTCTCAAAGTCAAAATACCCGTAGATTCATCGTACTTGTACGCTGGATAGCTTGGAATAAGGTTTCCAACTAGTGGCACTGTTAAACCGATTTTGTTACCGTTTCCAAATCCATAAACGTTGAATGTTTGGGCCGTGGAAAGAGCTTGAACAATGATTGATGATTCACTGTCTTTTAAGTAAATGCTTTGTTGGGTATCAAATGATTGAATAGCGCTGGGAATATATATTGTCGAGTTCTTCTGAGCTGTGATACACCCACTTCCTTTAATGTCATTTGTTTGTCGATACACCTGATTGATCAAACAAATCTGACCATCATTTGTGATTGAACCCAAGGGTGTGCCCAATCTCACATCACCAGAATTTCTTTGGTTCTGATAGAATACTAGTAAACCAGAATTTTTCCACAGGAGGGAGGTGATAGACATGGTGCCAGATAAGACCCCAGAAGCCCCAAGATACATTTCACCATTGTTTTCAAATTTTGCACCCACCAAATTATAGGTAGAGGATGTTAATGATTTGACAGAATTAAAAGCAATGATACCATCATTCACAATTGACCCTAATGTTGAAAGCAAAGTAACATCAAGACCAATTAATGGGGACGTCAGAGTAATGTAAAACCCAGCATCGGATTCCACATTAAGTGAGCCAGCAAGAGCAGATACAGCATTATTGATAATGGACCA